GAAGTATAGGCGGGACTAACAGAGGAGAAATAAAAGAACAGGAAGGCAGAAGGAGTCACTGCCTGTCAGCCGCCCGCCAGGGCAAGCAGCATGTGAAAATGCTGGCAAGCCATGAGTCACGTGGCAGGTATAGATTTATGGAAATGGATTAATTTAAGCTATAAGAACAGTTAGCAAGAAGCCTGCCACGGCCATAGAGTTTGTAAGCAATATAAGTCTCTGTGTTTACTTGGTTGGGTCTGAGCGGCTGTGGGACTGGCGAGTGACAAAGATTTGTCCTGACTGTGGGCAAGGCAGGGAAACTTTAGTGACACCCACCCCTTGGAGCTCGGGAACCACATGGAAGAGGGGAAAGAGGAATTTTGGGAGCCAGAGGAGTAGAGGACACAGAGAGAGCATGGCCAGTAGAATCAACTAACCCAGGGCTCATGGAATTCACAGAGACTGAAGCAGCAATCACAGAGCCTGCATGGGTCTTCTATGTCCTCTGCATATGTGTTATGGTTATTGACTTGGTGTTTGAGGAGGACTCCTGACACTGGGAATGGGTCTGGTGTGTATGACTTCTTTGCCTGCTCTTGGGACTCTTTTCCTCCTACTATATTGCTTCATCCAGCCTTGATGTGAGAGTTTGTTACGGTTTGTTAGGTAGTGTTCAGTTGATGTCCCTGGGAGGGCTGCTCTTTTCTGGGAGTAGATGATGGGGGTGGGGGGTTGGATCTAGGGAAGAGTTGAAGTGTGGGAAACTGGGAGTAGTGGAGGCAGGGGAAGCTGCAGTTGGGATGTATTGCATAAGAGAAGAATAATTTAAATTTTTTAAAAGAAATACTATTTTAGAAACAACAGCAAATATAGAGTTTTTCTCTGTTTTGTTCAATGTTAAATTTTAAGTATTTGGCACACAGTCCATGCTTAACTAATATTTGCTAAATAAATGTAGATGTAGCTTTAATTAGCCATTTCCATTAAAAATGGAAAGTGAAGACTTCCTCTCATAGAAAATTAATTCCCCACCAATGTCCTGTGTAGCTTTAATTATCCATTTCCATTAAAAATGGAAAGTGAAGACTTCCTCTCATAGAAGATAAATTCCCCACCGATGTCCTATATTGTATAGATAAAATTGGCTCATTAAAAGAGAAGATATTTGGGAGTAAAGATAAATGATACAAACTGCTGAGCTGGCTGGAAGATTTAGCAAAGAACTGGTTACAGTGGTATAGATATGGCTCAAGGACAATTCCCAAAGAATAAATTCAAAACTTCAGTATTTGAACATGTTGGTTGGAAACATTTTCGGTTTGATTTGGTTTGGACAGTTCACTGCCAGCTGTAAATCCAACGGAACAATGCCATCTAAGCTTAATAGACACAATTGTCAGAAGGATCTTAGAAATCCAAAAAGTTAAAAGCAGCAAATGCTTTACTTGTAATGAGTGAGAGTGACACTATAAGACCTCCTTCATTAGACATGTGGTCACTCAAACCATGGAGACATTTTGGTGACTGGTAAAATTCACTTGGGCAAACACCATGGCAGAGCCAGCCATCAGATCCCCATGTTTGTACCCTGGAACTATGACAGGCAATGTGGACCAGATGCATGATATCTGAACTATTTTAGCAAAAGATAAAAAAAAGTGTGTCTGACTGCAGACTGAGCAGATCCTTTGTAAAATTAAATGCAAGAAGTAGTAGCTGAAAGAATTTTCCTCCTCAGAAAAGTAACATCTGAAGGGATCTCTCAAGTGGTGGCCAGCTTAACTTCCATCCACTCTGAGCAAAACCTGTTAGAAGTACAATCTAGTCACAAAGGAAGACTTTAACAGCTCTCCATGGAATCTAGAAGTTAACAGTTTGAACTAGTACTTTGTTTTTCAGAGGCCTCTGTCAAGAACACTGACCAAGGAGCACAGGGTGGAGCTAACCTCACTCTCACGGTCTTCTGCTCCACTCTCCCATCTAGCCCAGAATTTCATTCCATTCCAGGGTTTCCAGAATACCTGAGACAGCCAGTTGACTGGGGAGTAAGTAGTTCAGTCAGCTGAAGGCCTTGACAGAAGATTTTCTGTACTGGCTGGAAGCCAAGGGCCAGGGGGCTGATAAGGAAGCTCTTACAGTAAACAGGGCTCCTTTGCATAGAAATGACTGAGGATCTGCATGAGCTTCTGCCAATAAAACCCTCATCTGCTTCTTGCGAATCTTCAACACATGTACTCCACTTTTCTAACACAAGTATCCTAGGGACCGGCACTGAGGTAAGAAGGAAAGAGATGGGTAGCCTAGTGGGAGATGGGGCCCTCCACTTGGGTATTCTTCCTGGCAGATGTCTCCTTAGAATTCACGTTGCACATACTGGTCAGTTTGTGTGTAGTGCAACAATGGTTGAGGTTGTAGTTTTCAGGAAAGGTTCTCCTTGCTGCCCTCAGGACCTCCACAGAACAAGGAATGCCAATGTGAATAAAAACCAGGGCAGTAAAGTCAAGTCTGTAGACATCAAGCCATGATTCTAGCCTTTGTTTCACTTTTCTCAGGAACTAGGAGGCTTGGGTCGTGTCTCTCTTTTGTCTTTGTACTAACATAAACATTCTTATTTAATCTTTGTCTCCCGGCTAATGGGATCATCTGACTGCTCATTAAGGAAGCCTGGTATTATTTCAAACAACAGTGGTTCTCACTGTGAACCTTTAGGGTAAGGATGCCTGAAGAGATGTCTGTGAATGTTCTACATAACCAAATTTTCCCAGAAACTTGTCAGCTTTCTTTGCTGGAGATGATACAGATGCCTCTACTTCACAAATTCCATTCCCCATCAGGATCTGTATTAACTTCTGCCCTGGCTTCTAGATGTATAACTGTAGCTAAATCTCATTAAAGATTAGTTGAAAAGTTAGACATAGTAGCACAGGCCTGTGATGCCTTCACTCAGGAAGGCTGATGCAGGAGGGTCATGACTTGACCCCTTGGAAGACAGTCTAGGCTATATAGTGAGTTCCAGACTACTATGGGCAACTTAGTAAGACTGTCTCAAAAAAGAAAAATTGAAAATTGACTAGATTTAGAGTTTTATATATGTGTAAAGATAGGTGATAGATTCATATGTAGATGCACGTGTGCGTGCATGTGTGTGTGTGTGTGTGTGTGTGTGTGTGTGTGTGTGTGTGTGTGTAATAATACTAGGAAGAAGACCATCAGAGGAGAAAGAAGTCTTCCTGGAGGAAGGGAAAAAAAGAAAAGAGCAATAGGATATGTGCAACATAAAAGCAGAAGAGTAGCTACTGGAGGGAGGAAGGAGACCAGCAGGAGTGAGGCAGGATGATGGGGGAGTAAAGTGAAGGAAATTTCAACAAAAACAAAATGTATATGAAAAGACCATAATGAAATCCATTACTTTGTATGTTAATTTTAAAAGAACACTTTAAGAATGGGATGGACAAGCAGGCAGATAGAAGGGTTATTGAGGTAGCTGTGGCTTGTTCTGCTTCTCTGATCTTCCAGCATTCACCCCAATACCTGGCTTCAGATTTGTTTTTATTAATAAGAACTTTTAAGATTCATGCTATAGGTTATTGATATAGCTTAGTGGTACAAAACTTGACTAACATGTGAGAGGCCTTGAGTTCAATCCTGAAACAGCCCACCACATGAAAGTAAAACAGTATTGCAAAAATAATGCCTTCCAAAAGAACATTATAAATTGGTGCTAAACTGATTCTTAAAGACACAAAGGATATAAGGGTGATTATCCCCATCTCCATCAAAACTTCTTAGCCCCAGTTTCTGGGGAGGGAAAAAGCCTGAGCTCATTTGATTCTTACTGTTATGGGACAGTCACTAACATTCTACCCCTTTGCAGTTGTAAAAAATAACCATCTCTGTCCACTCAAAAAGCATGGTCTAACTATTATACCAGGAGACACTATGTGTGTGTACATGTAACTTCTAGAAATATCAAAATATACACAGATCATTTTATGACAAAAGAGTCTCTGATGATGACTAATACAATGGACATGCAAATACAAAAAATCACTTTAAATACAATATGCTACTGACCTGAGAAAGATATGGAATGTCTTTCCGCTCAATTCCAAATTCCTGAATTCACAAAAAGAGGGGAAAGCATACATATAACTGTAGGGAGTATTAATAAAAAATTAACAGATATGCTATTGTGTATACATAAAAGAGAAAGTACCTCAAGAATATATCTTTCTGGATTAAAAAAATGACCAGGTAAACATATGTCATATACATTTGAGCACAAAATTATACTTAACCTAAGGATAGATTCTAAAAGAAAAGGCCTGCCTGTATTGAGTCTTTGATAGTTGGGGAAGAGCTAAATTGCATATTAGCTAACATGCAAATGTGTTATTTCAAGTAGAAGTCAGCCACTATTCATACTGTTGTTCTCCTTATTGATAATTTATGTTTATTGTCTTTGATTTTTAGACGTTTTCCTGCCAGTTATCTAGGATTGATTCACCTTGTTTGGCTTGGATTACTCTGAGCATGAGGGAAAACACAGGCTTACCTTTGCTATTATTTCTTTCTCTCACTCACCACAGACCTGTTTTGTCTATTGCCCCGTGCCTGGAAAGATTTATATCATATATATTTTGATGAAGTTTTGAAATTACTTCTGATAGTAGAATAAAGGTAATACTAAACTAATACAGAAAGCAACAGAAAATCCTTGGATATAAATGAATTTCTAACCTCTGCAACCTTTAGGAATTCTGTCAGTTTGGCTGTTCTTCCAAGAAATTTGATGTAAATATCCAAGCTTTCCTTGCATTGGTTCTTCCTCATGTTAAAATAATTGTCTAAAAATAGAAATAATAGATAACACGAGAGAAAAGTGAGAACTGCATTAATTTATTTTAATGTATAATGTACTGGTATTTTATTATTTTAAAATACATAGCCTTCAACAATCTCCTATTTTGGATCTACAAAAATATAAATCTAAATATAGAAATAAAAGAAAAAAATTTTTACAAATAAATTATACTTGACCAAAATTTCTTTTAAAAATAATTTAACTTAAAAAAAAGAAGTTTTAACTTGCCTAAAAGATTAAGGATCCCTTCATTATAAGCTGAAAAAAGACGAAGAGAATCTTTAAAGAGTAGTATAAAAGCAGATTGTATGATCCCATTAGTTAGTTGGTCAGGATTTGCCTAAAAAAGAAAGAATTATTTAATTACCACAACAGTTTAAGATGATTCTTCCTCCTGGATACAGTTAACTATTCCACTTATTAATTTTCTTAAAACTCTTACATTAAAATTAAGAAGAGCATCAAATTGGGTTTGAATGACTGGAAGTGTGTTTAGAAGCTCATTGGTATTCATACTTCTCATCACACCATGTGTCCTACAAAAGATAAAGGAATATCATAAATATCAGCAATTAAGAGTTTGAGAAGCACTATGACATATGTATTTTAAAATAGAGATGTGTTGTTTTGTGAAAATTTCAAAGTCAACTACACGTGTTCAGTGTTTACTTACAAATTAATGATGTTTACTGACCCTCTCTTGATTTTTGTGATGTCAGATGAGATCATTCTGTATGCGAGCGACTTTTCATTCAGGTACCTGCTATATCGTCTGATGAATGTTGACATAGTATAGCCTAAAAATGAGGTATGTTATTTCCAGATCAATGATATTATTTTCAATATGTTAACAAATGTGACAACTTCAGTCCACTTCACCTGTATACTTCAATAGCCTTGAAGTATAAAAGCTAGACATTATTTCATTAATCTGACAATTCTCAAACATTCTGTTAGATTATTTTTTTACTTTTTTAAATCCTTGATATCACCATTTATATGTGTTGATGGTGACATTATTGAACAGAAGAAATGATTGAATTGTATGAGCTTCTTTCATGTGTTCAATAAATCTATTGTAAATTCTTATCATTTCTTTACTGTCCCAGTCTGCTCCTACCACCTCTCCTCAACTTTCATGCCCTCAGCAAATAATCCTACCCCATACTTCACAGAGAAACCAGGAAAAGACCTTAGTAGAATGTCAACTTCTAGCTTCTCAGCCTTCAAATGTACCTTGATTTATTTATTCATCCGATTTATTAATTCACTGAACAGTTAGTCGTTGAGTACCTACTACAAGTCAGGTCTTGTTCTAGGTGCTGGAAGTTCAAAAAGTTCAGCTCTTATGCACTTCTGATGTAAATTGACAAAAGGTAATGATCCCAAAACAAACCAAAACAAAATTAAATGACACAGCTAGTGAGAAGTGGACTAAAGAAAACTGAAACAGGGAAGTAGCATAAAGAAAAGGATGTGGGACAATTTTGGTAGACTGGATATAAGGCTTCATTGAGCAAAGTCCATTAATAAGCTAGTAAGTACTCAAATTTGTGTTAATGAATTAAGGGATTATTTACCTCCAAAAAATTCTCACCACATCACATCCTTAATAATTTAGAAGCATTTTCTTAACAAGGAATAGTTTTCAGATCTTTTCCTTCTCTGTCGAGTAGAAATATTTCCATCAAAGACTCTTCTTGCTGGGCATGGTGGTGCTCACCTTTAATCCCAGAACCCAGGAGGCAGAGGCAGACAGATCTCTGTGAGTTCAAGGCCAGCCTGGCCTACAGAGTGAGTTTCAGAACAGCCAGGGCTGTTACACAGAGAAACCTTGTCTCTAAAAAACAAAAACAAAACCAACCAACCAACCAACCAAACAAACAAACAAAGACTCATCTCACCTTCTATGACACTTTTATCCAGGAAGTTGTGTAAAGTAAACAAAGAACTTCGAGAGGCAAGATGTTGAATAAAACGCTGTCAAACATAATGTACCAAATTTAGTTTTTGTATCCAGATGAAGTTCATTAATGATTTTAATTAAATGTTTTACCCTCAAGACTTTCTGTCTAACCACCTCTCTCTTTTGGTTTTTTTGATTCATTCTAAATTGCAGAACAATACAAAAATAATGATATATCTGTGTACCTCACTACCTAGAAATACCAGCTGTTTTTTGTTTGTTTTTTTTTTTGTATCCACCTCAAGGTTAATTTTATAAGAGAAATGAAACAACTGAATGTGGTGATGCACACCTTTAATTCTAGCATTCAAGAGGTCCTAATTTAAAGGTGCAGGTGGATCTCTATGAGTTAAAGGCCAGCCTGTTTACATAGTGAGTTCCAGGCCAGCCAAGGGCTTCATAATGAAGACTCTGTCTCAACCCTCCCCACAGAAGAAGAATGGAACATTACAGTTAAATTGCCCTTTGACCCATCCTCAAAATCTATTTCTTTTTCCTCCTAGATACAAATATAGTATCATAATTTTAAACAGTCTTTGCAATCTATTTTCTTAGAATTTCATATGCATGTCTTCCATGGACAAACATTATGCATATTTTAAAAATTTACCTAAATAGGGCCTGTAAGACAGCTCAGTGGGTAAAGGAATTTGGCATCAATCCTGATGACCTGAATTTGATTCTTTGAATCCACATGGTGAAAAGAGAACCAATTCCCAAAAGCTGTCTTCTCACATCCATCTGTGCACTGTTTGTATGATACATACTATAATATATATAATATGTAAATATATATATAAAACATTTGTCTAAATGGTATTGTTCATTAAATATCATTCTAAAATTTGTTTTTAGGCAAGCAAGATGGCTCTGTGGGTAAAGGCACTTATTGCCAAGCCTGACCATGCACACACACAACATATAATAAATGTAAAAAAATTAAAATTGTTTTCTATATTAGAATTATTTTTGAAATCCAGCATTCTTAGTAAACATCACATTTGATTTAATACTAAATATGTTGTAATGTGCTCATTATATTGCCTTTTTCTATAATTGTATGTTCTTATGATTAGCTTTATGATGTCTGTCCTATCAAAATACTATAAAAACAGCCACCTACATTTTAATTAGCTTTAAATTTAATGCTGAATATTTCATCTTTGAGGAAATTTTATATATGTGGCAAGATAAGGATGTCATTCTATTTATAAGTATTCACTTGGGTTGGTAGACTTTATTTAAAGTTGGTCCCTCCATGTTTTCTTCACATTTTTAGTGCTACTAATCTCTTTTGTAAGTATGGTTCTTGTTCTGAGATATCGATTATGATACATATGTATGTTTTACTTTAGAGATACTATCCTTGTAGTTACCTTACTTTATACTAAATATCAAATTACAACCAATTTCTAAATATTAATTTTAATCCAAGACTTACTGAAATTAAAGGTTTATGAATTTGAAGTAGAAAAAATAATTTAATGTTATGGACTATTTCAGTTGTTCTGTGGAGTTAAAATATGTATATGGAAAGAAATAGGCATGTGAGTATATAATACCATCAGGTGTCCAGTCTTTCTCAAAAAGTAAAGTAGTTATGCAGTAATACATTTGTGGGAAGGGGGGGCCAGTCTAAATAATCTGAAGAGGGCTGGAGAGATGGCTAAGCAGCTAAGCACACTGGCTGCTCCTGCAGAGGACTCAGGTTCAATTCCCAGCACCTACATGGTGGTTTACAACCATCTGTGACTCCAGTTTCAGGGAATCCAACACCCTCTTCTGGCATCTGTGGGCACTATATGCATGTGGTACAGTGTGGTGATATTCCCCAATATATCATGCACCCTAATAAATTTATCTGGGGTCAGAACAGAACAGCCACTAGATATAGAGGTCAAAAAAAATGGTGGCACACACGCCTTTAATCCTATCACTTGTGAAGCAGAGATCCATTTGGATCTCTGTGAGTTCAAGGCCACACTGGAAACAGCCAGGCATGGTAACAAGAGCCTTTAATCCCATGAAGTGATAGCAGAAAGGTATATAAGGTGTGAGGACCAGGAACTAGAGCCTGGTTAAGCTTTTAGGCTTCTAGCAGCAGTTCAGCTGAGATCCATTTGGATGAGGACACAGAGGCTTCCAGTCTGAGGAAACAAGATCAGCTGAGGAACTAGTGAGGTGAGGTAGCTGTGGCTTGTTCTGCTTCTCTGATCTTCCAGCTTTAACCCAGTTCCTGGCTCTGGGTTTGATTTTCTTAATAAGACTCTTTAAGATTCATGCTACAGTACAGAGACATACATTCAGGGCAAACACTTACACATAAAGAAAGAAAACTGAATAATCTGAAGAGTAATCTAAATATTCAATGTCCACTCTATTATGTACCTTATTACCAGTGGTTATTTTTGCAGTGGATAAGTGGTATATTTCCAATAATACTGATTTCAAAGGTACAATCATAATTGAAAGAAAAAATGTGATTAACTTATTTTACCTTCCACTAATAGAAGTAAAAGGTAGTGAGACCTTTTACAAAAACATTTTGCAATTGTCTGTTTATGGTTCTTTGTAATAGAAGGAAAGAAACACTGCACATGAACGACACTAACCTCATTTCCATTAACCATAAGGTGATGTATGGTGACCAGGGCTTTGAAGACCACCACCCAGCTGTTGCTCCTAGCTTTTGCAGAAAGGACATTAGCCAGATGTTCAACACTCATATTTGTTTGGTTTATATACTGTAGTAGACCTAATCAGAGATGGTGAAAGCATTAAAATACAGGTTGAGAAATAATTTTCAATTCACTTCATATTGCTAACCTTTTTATTTTACTATTTGATACACTCATATTCATTTTCTCTGTTTCTCTGTCTCTGTGTGCGTGTGTGTGTGTGTGTGTGTGTGTGTGTGTGTGTGTGTGTGTGTGTCTGTCTGTCTGTCTGTCTGTCTGTCTGTCTCTGTTTCTGTCTCTATATCTATCTGTCTCTTATTTGGAGTGGGTTAATATATATTTCCCTAGAATTCATTATCTGGCCTGCCCATAGTAATATATAAATACATGTATATTTTTGTTAATGTCATCACAAGCAAAAATAGGAAATGAGATCCTTCTAAGAAGCTAGAGGTTTTTGTGTTTTGTTTTGTTATTGAGACAGCATCTCATGTATATGATAGACTAGTT